GGGTCTTTCAAAAATTAATTCACATTCTATACCCCCTGTAGAACCTCAGTAATCCTGACCGTTGCTTAAACCTGATTACAAGTTCGGTCCCGTAGAAGCCCGTTTTAGACAGATGCCACTGTACAAAGAAACCGAATGACAAAGCGCCCCGGACCTTCTTATTCAGTCACAGAAACTCTAATAACTGCCGGGGGCACGGCTGGCCCAGTCGTCTAAGGCGCCGCGATTCGCTGTGCAGAGTTGCGTCCCTTGGGCACGCCAGAAACCTATGATTGTGGGTTCGAATCCCGGTTCGCCCCGATTATGTTTCTAGGTTTGTCAGCACCATACCCGTGCTCGTGGGTTTCACCGAAGTGGTAAACGTCTTAGACCTGCATCGCTTCGGGCTTTGCTCCCACATTAAGCTGACACGCCGCGATGTAACTGGAATACTGTTAAAAGCGGCGTTAAACCCAACTCACTCACTCACTCTAATAACTGCCCATTTCGCTTAGGGGCCGACCATTTGATATTATGGAGGGGGCTTGGATATTACTGAAAAAAAAATAAAATGTACCAGAAAATGCTTGTAAAAAGAATGTTAAAAGGAAGGAATTGTTTGCCACAAAAAATACATTAAAAGATGGTTTTACTTTGTATTAAGGGACATAGTTTAAATTGAAAAACATATATCTGGTTTTGCATCTGCAGTTGAAAATATGTAGGCTCCATCCACAATATTTGCAGGTTCTATTTTTGTTATTAAAAATAATCCTTATTGTGTCTACTGAGCCAAGATGACTAAAAACCGGTTTATCACTGAACAAAGTAAAATACTTTCTAAAGCGCTGATCTGATCTAGCCTCCCGTAGCGCGCCTTTAAGACGTTGTCATGCACCTGCTATCATTTAATTTCCATAATCTCAAATCCACATCCATAAAGCAGGTTTGAATGATAATGACTTTGCTTTACGCCATGTTGTATTTAAATTCTATTGAAGTTGTAAACACATTTTTTTAATACCAGGCACTGTGGTATTCATATTGAATCACACCCAAAGCTAATGTCTTGCACTAAAACAGCTGGAGAATGCATTGAGCATGCATGTTCATTCTTTACGTTGAATTAGAAATATTTTATGGATATAATGAATTTCCTCTTATTTAATATTTAATATTTATTATCTAAAAAGCTGCCACATGTGTCATACGAAGGTATGTATTTTAACTAATAATGAATTTGATCGTGCTCTATCAGCGTTGTCCAATTCGGATATCAAATTTAACAACAGATTTCTACTGCGGGTGTTAACCACATATTCAGTTACTGAGGCAGGCTCTACGCCGTTTGCACAATATTTAAGTAAAACCCAAAGTGCTGCGTCAGCATAATTTAATAGGCACGAGACCAAGAACCGAGACCAAACAAACACAGATAATGTGGAAGGAAAGGTTCGAATCCCGGTTCGCCTCGATTATGTTTCTAGGTTTGTCAGCACCATACCCGTGATCGTGGGTTTCACCGAAGTGGTAAACATCTGAGACCTGCATCACTTCGGGCTTTCCTCCCACATTAAGCTAACACGCCGTGATATAACTAGAATACTGTTAAAAGAGGCGTTGAACCAAACTCACTCACTCACTCACTAGTCTATGTTAAAGTATGGGTGTTACGGTCACCTTAGTGCTACGATCGCTTTGTGGAACGGACCCCTGGATCGTGTATTTATTATGTCAGTCACACACGTGGTTTGCGTTCTTTTCATGCATTAATGGAAGTCGGCGCTTTTGATCTTGCCATCACCATTGGAGAATCTCATGTATTACTGGCTGCAATCTCTAATATGGTGAATTTTCACGTTGGTAAAGGCCTTGGCATAAATACGCTCATTAGAAGAAATACGGTACACTATGGAAGCTTGCGAGTGGAAAGTAAGGTATGAACTTAATTCATTAACGACCAAAGGTGATGAGAAAAACTCGATCAAATGTAAAAGTTTCTTTTAGTCAGTAGTTTACGGTTGACGACGTTCACCAGTAACAAGCATTCTTCTCTGTTGAACAACTATTTAAAACCAATCAAGGACATACATCATTGACGTTATTACGGGTTTGTTAAAGTTCATAATTTTAGTGATGTAACGTCACATGAGAATATATGATCATTGATCTATTGATAAATTGGTCTCCAGTGTCTTATGTCTTCATTTTACCTGACGGTTGTAATATTCACTCTCATATGACATATGACATATGACATATTATAGGGGCGGTGGGGTAGCCTAGTGGTTAAAGCGTTCGCTCGTCACGCCGAAGACCCGGGTTCGATTCCCGACATGGGTACAATGTGTGAAGCCCATTTCTGGTGTCCCCCGCTGTAATATTGCTGGAATATTGCTAAAAGCGGCGTAAAACCATACTCACTCACTCACTATGACATATTATACGGTATTCATCTTTATAAGAGTTTCCTTGGATGTAATCTGGCCTAGACCCGTCTGTACTGAGCCATCACAGCACAAAGACAGATTTACAATAGTCGTACACAGTAAATTAAAAAAGCCACGGGGTTGGGACATTTTCCGAAAGAGTCACGAATAGCAATCATCGGTTATCCAGTGTATCATGTCTCCAATATAATAGACCGGACTAATGCCGGTACTATGGTACTAGCCCACTGAGGTACCATGCCACAGATTTACAGTTAAATCCCTTAGACACAGCATACTGACTCCATGGTAACCAGTCCTTGTTTTATCTCCCAAATAAAAAGCGCCAGGCAGAGTAACAACAAGTACATGGGTTTTATACCGTAACCAACTTTATAAGAGTTTCCTTTGATGTAATCAGGCCTAGACCAGTCTGTTCTTAGCCATCACAGCACGAAGACAGATTTACAATAGTCTCGTCTTTTTATGCTGGTTGTTCTGTCTCTGCGGTGTGTACTGATGCTCACACTATCGATCACTGGTTTGCCCGTTCCGGAGCACGGTTACACAAAGCGATGTTAGCACCACAACGTGCAGTGACATAATGCTGTGTTTAAGTATGTTTTTTTTTAAGGCTATATAGCTGATGGCGATAAGTTAGGACAACTCACTTAACCTACTCACAACGATGGGAACGTTATATGTATGGGAATAGCCGAGAGTGAGGTTTATGAAATGGTAGGATTGTAACACAGCTGAAAGAAGTATGCACGTTCCAAGCCATTAATTCGGGAAAGTATTGCATGTTTTAATAAACTGACACATTATAGTTATTGAATACAAAGACTGCGGCTGGCTTTCCCACGATGACTCAAGAAGGACTCTTTTGTTAAGCTCCGTGAACTACGAGCTTTAAGTAAAGAAAAAACTCAATGTATTATATATGAATTACCAGAATCATCGATAGTTGTACAATTAGAAGTGAAATGAACGCTGTTATATATTTTAAGTTGTGATCTTTTAGCTCACCTGGGGCGGTCGGGTAGCCTAGTGGTTAAAGCGTTCGCTCGTCACGCCGAAGACCCGGGTTCGATTCCCGACATGGGTACAATGTGTGAAGCCCATTTCTGGTGATATTCGCCGTGATATTGCTGGAATATTGCTAAAAGCGGCGTAAAACCGTACTCACTCACTCACTTAGCTCACCTGGGCCCACTTGCACAAAGTGATCGTAGTGCTAAGACGACTGTAAGCCTATGTTAAAGTATGGGAGTTACGATCACCTTAGCGCTAAGATCGCTTTGTGCAAGTGGGCCCTGGTCCTAACGTGCCACTTAATCGCAATTTATGCGTCTTTTACGCTTCGGGGTATTAAGAACGATATTTTTCATGTTAGTTGTTTAACGAAACAATGTGCAAAATTCCAGCTATAAAAATGAATGTGGAACGGACAAGTCAGTGATTGATATTATTAGCAGCGATAGACGCAGTTTGGATACCTTTACACACAAATATATCTTGACCAGATAAACCGGTGATTGATAGCTCGAGTAACGTCCCACGTCGGTTTGGTACAATGGCACGCAATCAACCAGGTCACCGAGCCTGACTACCCGTTCCATGAAGTCACCTCTTCGGCCGGCATAGGTGGTAGGGACCTATGACAACCTGGCATCAGATCAGGTTCGCCCAAACGGGTATACGGTATGAGGCCCCTTGCTGACGCCTCTTCCGCCATACTGATTGGAGATTGCTAATTAACGTAAAACCTCACTCTGAAATCCAAGTGACCGTCAAACCACCAGTTCGTGTCATCCGAATTTCGTCTTACGCACATAATCAGGAGAACGAATCTCCCCTTCTCGCTGATTAGAAAATAATGACGTCGCCCTGACGAATGACCTTTAAACGTCGTATTCAAAATCACTGTGTCGACAAAGCGGGCAAATGTTTGGTTGATCTGGGATTTTCCTTGCCAGATAAATATGATTTGGTGGATTTGATGAGGTGAGGTGAAATGGCTTTAAACGTCGCGTCCAAGATTAATGCACTTACACAGTGCATGCACGTGCGTGTGTGTCTGTGTGGCTGCTTGTACTAGTCCGGATTTTATACTGCTAGCCCACTGATATACCATGCCGCAGTTTAACATGAATATCCCGGTCAGACATAGTATACTGACTCCGAGCCCACTAGTCCTTGTTTTAGCCCCTAAATGACGAGCGCCAGACAGGGTAACAACAAATACCATCTTTTGACGTCTTTTGGTATGACGCGGCCGGGGATCGAACCCCGTATCTTCCACTCTCCGGACGGACGCACTACCACTAGACCACGGCGGCGGTCCAAAATTGGATTTGGGGGATAATCGTGCCAATTTAAAACATAATATATCAAAATACTTAGCTAAATAAACCCTTGCTTTTGCAAATTTATTAAAGTTCCAACTTTTGATTTTGTTTCTCGATATTTCTTAAGCTTCTCCGAGGAGAACTCTTATAAAGATACTGTTAAATGCTTTTGAATGCTATTTGCAGCCGAAAGGGCAGCTCTTTTGCAACGTCTACTCAGAAACGAGTACGCCTGCGCGCGGGTTGCCGGAGGATGGTGGCGGTCTGCGTCACACAACTTGACTCGGCGAGTGTCGGCGGTAAACCGCGAGCGATCGCTCCCTCCCTGTCCAGATCCAACCCAATTAATACATATTGCATTCAACCTGCGAGCCGAGGAAGTGGCCGAATACCGCCGAGTCAGCACAGGCGCCTTCACTGGACCAAGAGTAGGATGTGGACCCGCGAGGCCAGGGAAAAACCTTTTATGACGGAAAGTGCAAAAGAAATGTGAACATATTTCATTTCTACGAAATATTGGATCATTATATTCAGTGATTGTGTTTTAAGGAAAGATATTTCGTATTTTTCGTAAAGTGAGACACGGGTATGGTATCCCACGGAGTAAAACCTTATCAGGATATCAATTAATATCAACAGAGTTGGAGTGTCTCAAGGGGATAATTTTAAGACGTTCGACACTCTTCGAGGAGATTTTCATACCTCACTTGGATTATATGTAGTACGTAAAAGTGACACGGGTATATTGTAGAAGTGTGACTCAAGAAAGACATGCTTTGACGTCCAGCTAGCTGCAGGCGAGTAAAACTGACAGGATTTCTTAAGCGTTTTCAACAGATAATCTGCAGAGATTAACGGATTAAGATGTCTGGTGTAGGAATTCTACTGGTGCTATCCTTGTCGGGATGTTTCCTCGGGACTTGGGGGGAGATGTGGGAATGGGGGCCGGACCTCGAAGGACCCTGGTGTGCCAAGCGCCGGGGGGAGCAGTGCTGTATCGACCGGGACGACTATTGTTCCGTCCCCATCCTCGGCACCGAGTGCTACTGCGACGTCTTCTGTAACTCCACAGCCTACGACTGCTGCCCCGACTACTGGGAACACTGTCATGGGGTGGTCAGGGAGGAGAGAACCACCCCGCTACCCATCATTTATACCACACCCCGGATACCCGTGTCTACAAGTAAGAGTTTAACCTCTTCCCTTCACCCCTATAACATGATATACCCCTCCAAACAGTTCGCCCAAGGCTAAAGCGTTAAAATGCTTTCTAATCTAATATCCCCTAATTCGTAGCTGTAACCACAGTCCTTGAATATCTTCGTCCACCTGTGACGAAATATAAAGTTTATTTGCTAGCTACAGCTGTGCCGTAATTCAAAGGGAACGAAACTTAAAAGGGAATTCCTCTTGCCTTGAAAACCCGCCAATACAATCGAGTTTGTTTATCCACAATCTGTAGAATGAACTGTATATGTATTATAATATCTACACTACTGGTGACGTGAATTCCGCTTGTACAACTTTTGTACTTTATGTTAATAGCTCCCGACCTGGATATGTTTTTTGTTAAGCGATTATAACATTTGCGTTTAACGAATTACATACATTCGGTTTGTAGCCTGTAAAAGTAGTGTGTCGAGCAAGGTTGTATGCTAAGTCCTATGTTGTTCATATAAAATACGCGAAATTCAAACATTAGCAGCAGCAACACTTTTATAACAATTTTATGAACTGTTACATCAACCGATGATTATAGAAACTTAATATCTTCCAGTAAACCAATTACTCCAAACTGCCTATAAACCTTGAAACGGGGCTCGCTGGCATTACAGCCATGTATCATTCAGGCACAGTCGCGGATGACAACTATACCCTGCTCCAGGCCTAGTACCTCAGGTGGCGGGCAGCTGTCCTTCTAACCCCTACCAACCCAAACCCCCAACACAGACCCCCCCCCCCCCCCCCTCACACACCCCCTCTCCTTTCCGCTTCCCTCAATATGTATCAGTTGGACATTCATTCCCCGAGGAGATTGCCAACGTACCGTCCGATTCAGACAAACATTTTGTCACACAAAAACAGTTATCGAAGGTAGGTTTGCTGGGATTTTATAAAAAAAATCCATTATCCCAGAAAATGCTTTAAAAAATAATAAATATGGCTCATTTTGTTGAAAAAATTGAAATTGTCACCGCAAAAAATACATTCTAGCTGGTCGGTCGGTCCCTTAAGTTTACGTATATTAGGCTGCATAAGAAACAACCAAGAATACAACTGGGCTCACATTGAACTCCGCTCTCAAATAACAATGTCAGTATCGTGTGTGAGATCATCATTTTGTGGACAACAGAGTATGTTTCATGTGATGCAGGAAACGTATTTTTTATTGGCAATAAAATGATGCACAGGATTAATATGCAAAACGTCAACGCTAGAGAATGATCAGTGTCTATTATCAACCGAAACGGGAAAAGTGATGCGCCGATACACGAGAGACAGTTTCTTTTTGTTGTCTTATAAACGAATCCGTCGTTCTGAAAACACAAATAAAACATGACGATGTACATTGACCTGCTACCATGATAGTGCTTGCACTGCTAACCGGCGTACGCCTTGTCCAATTTACATTGAATGTTATCAGTGATCTGTGTGGTAATGTTTGCTAAAGCCCTTACGTTCTCTCAGGCCAGGAGACTCGTAAATATATATCGTAATACACATACTCATAAATTTCCTGATTGACTGACACAGAATGTAAATTAAGTATTTGAGACAAAGTTTTGGAATGCTTAAGTGGTCTTAGCGATATATGGCAGTAGTCGATATATGGCAGTTCTGCGACAGTTCTTTATATTATTCTGTGTCGCTCATTGCAATGTCGTTTGATGTTAGCTGGCAAAACGAAAGCGTACGATGAAAGAAAAGTGTTTTAGTATGAAGGGATAAGGGTTTTAGCAAGGGGGGCATTTTTTTAAATAGAAAACAGTTTTATTTGAATCAAGTTGGGGACAAGTGTTACTTGTTCAACAAATATTTGAACACCCCCCCCCCCCCCCCCCCCCCCCACGTCAAATTAAGTTAACTACGGCCTTGGCTTTAGTCATGAATAACGGTCTGCTGGCCATTCATCACAAGCACAAAGGAACTGTACATAAATGAGTAAATTGTCAAGAATGTTTTTTTCTTGTTGATTAAGGCCGTACTTAACAATATTCCAGCTGTATGACGGTGGTCTGTAAATAATCCAATTTGGACCTGACAAACTAATGATTGATATCATGAGCATCGATCCAGGCAACTGGGTTACGATGACATGCTTCAACTAAGTCAGCGAGCCTCCAGCACCCGATGCCGTTAGTCGCCTCTTACGACAAGCATAGTCGCCTTCAACGGCAAGCATTGTGTGCTGAAGACCTATTCTACCCCGGATTTTCACGGGGAGTCAAGCATGTGGCGATGGTGGACATGGGAGACTCAGTTTATATTGATTGTAGTTATTTTCGTATTTTAATTCCTAGTTTGAAGTCATTGAATGCGAGGAACTACACACGTTTCTTTTTCTATGCGGCAAGTTGAAGATTAAAAATCAATTTTAGCCGACAATCCTTTTCATCCTGACCCCATCCCGTGACCTGATAAGTGACATGTCTGTCTTCTTCACCTTCTCTGAAAAACCGAACAGTTCAGGCTCGTCATCATATTCTCTCTTGTATTTCTGTAGTCATTTAACTTTAGCGTTTTGATATATTATCTGTGTCTAAGAATATTTGACTTCTAGTTGAGTTGGGACGGTCGGGTAGCCTAGTGGTTAAAGCGTTCGCTCGTCACGCCGAAGACCCGGGTTCGATTCCCGACATGGGTACAATGTGTGAAGCCCATTTCTGGTGTCCCCCGCCGTGATATTGCTGGAATATTGCTAAAAGCGGCGTAAAACCATACTCACTCACTCACCCAACCTCCATATACAGGCACACGGAGGCTGCCTACACACAAGTGACAATTATGAAACGATGTATATAATGTATAGTTGTTACAGCTTGCTTGCGCTGCTATGAAATATATCAGTCCTTACGTTATTGATAACACGTGCGTCGTGACATTACCGAGATGCTTCCCTCCTCAAACAATATTATATTCATGTACTAATTACTGTCTGCATCGAATTAGTGCAAGTCGTTAGGCATATAGTATAACGGCACTTGCCTTTCATAATGATACATAATACTTATTATTATTACTGCAGGCAAACATTCATCTGTTTAGTTGAGCTCACGTGTTGAATACACGTGGTTTAATTCGTCACACGATACCACTACTTACAAGGTCTGTCGACGTCTACTGGCGCGCAGAGGTTGTGTGCGTTGTCTGCCAGAAAACTCGATACGTGAGACGTGATACTTGGAAAGGCTTTTTTTGGTACAAAATCGACATATAGTATAAAGCAATTATTAAAGATATATCTCGTTTTTGGATTTCGTGCCATGGTGGTATTAAGTTGGAGCGGTAGAAGCATATCGGTAGGGATTTAATAAAACGTAACTCAGAAAAGTAAATGAATGCGTATGTTTGTTGTTTAACGCCGCACTCAGAAATATTCCAGCTATATGACGGCGGTCTGTAAATAATCGAGTCTGGAACAGAAAATCCAGTGATTGACATCATGAGCATCGATCCACGCAATTGGGACACGATGACATGCATCAACCAAGTCGGCGAGCCTGACCACCCGATCCCGTTTTCCTCCTCTTACGACAAGCAAAGTCGCCTTTTACGGCAAGGATGGGTTGCTGAAGACCTATTCTACCCCGCATCTTCACGGGTCTAAATGAATGCGGATGGACGGACAGATATGCTGGTTATGATGATATACAATAAAAGAGTTATTGTGCAAAGCTCTTAGTCAGGCACATGGAAGGAGTTTTTATCCCGTTTTGGTGATTGTGAAATGTGTTTCATGAAACGATCCGACTTCTCCTTCTCCTCCGATGACTTAATGCATAAATACATTCACCAGTCCCATCTGAAATAGCAAACGATAAATAACTGTCAATATAGGAAAATAATGAAATTCATCCTGACTTAAAGAATTACGAGTTAAGTTTACAAACTATACAAAAGCCGTCGTTGTTAAAATAATATATCACAGATGGTACACGCCCTTGAGTCACGAGGATGGTTGCCCTATGTTGTTTGGCGTTCAACACGGAAGTAGTGAGAATATTGCCAAGCTGAACAGATTGGTCTAGTTCCTGCTCACGCTCGCGCCGCAGACATGAACCGTAATGGCGATGCGCGGAAACTGCAAAGATCAACAGCGTGCATGCATTGTTGCCATTCCTCGACAAACAGTAAGGAAGTGTGCTAGATTCACAAAAACAGCAGATGGGGGGAGATATTCATCCCGTGATCCAACATTAGAACATGTGTAACGCTAGTCTAAACATCCCAGACGCGGAACAAAAATTAGATGCCCAAACAATGATCAAGGTTGCCGTATAAATACGATGAGCACAGTTACGTCAAGGATATCGCTATTGCTTTGGCAGGATATTATTCTTCTTCCAAGAATATTGGACCAATACGAAAGGAATTAAGGAACGGAATCATGTTCCGGTGAGATTTACAAAGACGGCTTTCTCTGATAATTATTACATGCACATGAGGTTTATTTTGATAATAACACAGAAAGGAATATATAGTGGAGAGTGAGTGAGATTTTACGCCGCTTTTAGCAATATTCCAGCAATATCACGGCGGGGGACACCAGAAATGGGCTTCACACATTGTACCCGTGTCTGGAATCGAACCCGGGTCTTCGGCGTGATGAGCGAACGCTTTAACCACTAGGCTACCCGACCGCTCTAAGGAATATATAGAAAACCGCATCGAAATAAAGGTTGTCAGTTCTATAGTATTTATTTTTGACTTAACTATGTGAGATATACGATAATGATGTAGCAAACATGGAAGCTTTGTCTTTAGGAATCAAATGACGCATTCCGAGCTCAGGCTTATATTTTTACCAGCAAAGTTTATTTGACCAGCTCATCTTTCTCCATCTCTCAGAGATGAAGGAGCGATCATCTTTGCAATCATACTATTTCTGAAGATATATGATCCAAGACAAAGTTGGTCCATTTTCGATCCCAATGTAACGACAGTATGTTTCACAGGAGATTA